CAGTCCTGACCTCAGCAGCATTTTAGAGTAGAAGGCAGACACCTTTGTAGTTAGTATCAATGCCATACCTAATAAGTGTTATACAGTTGTTTAAGATGTAAATGGAAGAAAAAGTAAACCATCAATTCATCCTAAAACAAAAAGTGATTCACGGGAGCAGTGACCGTGGAGATGGTATTTAAGTTCCTTTTTTTATATGTAAGTATATGATTTTACCAAATGAAGACAGTGAGAAGGCAGTCTTCCAAAGAGAAGAGGAAGGTCCAAGTAAAGTCATACTTAGGGAATTATGAGTCCCCTAGAGAACTTGAAAAACAGGAGGTGGGGAACTGGGGCTGTAAAAGATGACATGGAAACAAAGGTAGAGGAAAGATGATTGTGAAGGAATGTAATTGCCAAGAAGTTTAGACCTTAATCCTGAAGAAAACAATACAATATGTAAAGCAGTCTTTAAAGGAGGGATGAGACATTAGTCCTTTATAGTAATGGTTTACTTATTTCTATTCCTCTTTCCACTATACACTCCATGAGAGTAGGATCTTATATTGATTGAGGATGTTTCTCCAGAAACCAGAAGAGCACTTGATGCATAGTAGGCATTTAAATATGTATATCTGCTATATCACTGAATGTTTAAAATAATGATTATACAAGCATTAACAGGTACAACCAGTAAATGATTATTGTAATACGTCAAGAGAAAATAAAGGCAGAATGCGGACAGTGATAATAGGTTTTGTATAGAATTAGCACCACTTAACAACTCATGGACTGATAAGGGTTTGATTAAGTGGGAAATCCAATATTACAATAGGGTTTCAAACCTGGGTAATTAGATGGATGGTGGTGTCTTAACCAAAACAGAAATAGAGGAGGAAAAGAAGGAGGTTCAAGGGGAATCTTTTTAAGTTTGTATTTGAATTCACTGAGAATAAGATTCATTTGGGACATGATCTGATAATCATCAGGCAACAGTGTTAAGAGGAAAACAATCCTCCAATTTTAGTTCTTGTGAATAAAAATAATCATTCAATATATAAATTTGTTCAAATTTGTGTCATCCATATCTCTCGAATGCCTTAGAGGGATAAGAAAACTATTTCATTTATTATGAAATCCATTTGAGATTATAATTATAATTCACTATCAGTACAGCAGAAACAGGGAGTAAAAATAAATTAAATAACTGGCTCAAAAAGTCCTGAATTACAACTTGGGAGGAAGAAAATACAGGCAACCTGTCAATCCAAATTATTACCATAAATTTCGTTCCCTATTAGACAAAATATAGACGTGTTATAACATTAAATAAACTAGATCGATTTAAATCTGTTATAGAGTTTGGGGGTTGTTGAGATTTGTTTGGATTCTTGATATTACTGACTACACATTAGAAATTGCCAAACTGATACAAAACACTACATGCAGTACAAACTCATTACTTACGTGAAAATGCTGAATCTGTAATCTTTCAGAGTCTTCTCTGAGGCCAAAAAAAGGTGGGCACTGTTTCACTCACAAAATATTTCCCCAGAATTTCCCTGGAACATTTAAAGAATACCTCTCTTTTGTTTCCTTTAACAACAACACAAAAATAGCCTTATCATTATATGTTTTCTCAATACCTATATCAAAATCATCGTAAGTATTGAGAAGCTGCAAATTTGAAAAAGGTTCGTTTGTTAATAGTCTATAAAAGTCCCAGTTAAAGAAAATTATTGTTCTCTATAACAGAAAAAGATGATATGGCATTTTGTGATTCATTGCATTCAGAATATAAGTGATTTCTTATCGAATCTTGATTCTAATGCAGTTTAAAATATCCATAACAATATCTGGGCTATTCATGAAGGAAAACCAAAGAACTTCACTTTTCGTGTGACTTGTAAAAGTATTTTTGAAGATCTCTTCAACTGATGAGGCTTCTAAAAAAGATCTGGGGATTTTGAGACTTGACTAACATTTGAGAATCCTGGAGCTTGTCCATTGACTCCAGTACAATGCAAATACTAGGCTAATCCTGTGACATGAGGCACTTAGGGTAACTGGCTAAAACTGTAAAAATGGAAATAAGCTGAAATATTTTGAAAATATAAAAAAAAAGAGAATCACATCCAAATGTATTTTCTAAGAGCAAAAATACAATATATAATTTTTACATATTTAAAAATAACACAGAAAAAGCACTGTTACCAATGGACTTCTCACACCTAACCACATATTTGAAGAATGTCACCCTAACTTTCATAATTTCTCTCATACCTATCTACTTTCTTGATTATAAAATGTAATCATGGACTGTAAGCTTGTAATCTTCACAGTGTATCTAACTTCCCTGTAGAAAACCACCAGGAAACAAATTACAGGTTAGATACCAGCGATATTCCAAAAAAAATAACTCCTTAGTTTAATAACACTTGCTTTCAAATGATGCTACTGAACAAAATACAAAAGACTCAGAGCTCAGGTGTGAAACTTTTAATTTACAGGAAACCGGGGGAGTCTTCCTTTGACTCTTTACTATCTTTAATGAGAAGATGAAACTTGTCACTGATGAATTTTAAGATTGTATAAAGTATCTCCCAAAGAGATACAGAGAGCACTAATTTCAAAGTACTTTGTATTCACATAGATTAGAATCTTGCTGAAGTACTTCAGTGTTACTCTCTTAGGAATTGTGAAACTGATGAGAAAAATCAACTTGTTTCTATGAAGCACCTACTCTGCTCAGCTCTATGGGAGATGACCTTGAGAAACCCAGTGAATGGGGATACAAGGCATCTGTGGGAAGATGAGGGAAAAAAACAACCTAATACAAAACCAGGCACACTTTTCATAATGCAGACAATAGATGTGATGGGAGTGCAACCATAGGAAATGGCTGTGGGAGACTTTCATGGAGGAGGTGCAGTGTATAAATTCTAGGGAGATGTGAGTGTTATTAGGTAAAGAAGCAAGTTGCGAGATAAACCTGGCAGGGGAATACCAAAAGGAAAGGCAGAAGGAGACAGGATTGAATAAGTATAGGTGATAATGACAGTTGATGAGGCAGTAGATGATAAGGTTAGTTAGGAGGGAAGAGGTCCATCACTGGAGAGGATTGCCTAACAGCACGGGCCTCACAGTTCTGATCTATAAATCATGTCTGAGAGGCACCTTTGGCATAAAGGTTAAGAGCTTAAACTCTGAGACAGACTGCTTGATATGGCCACTTAGTAGCTATTTGATTTGGGGCAAGTAGTTTAATTTACTATGCCTCAATTTCTCTATCTGTGTAACAGGGATAATAATAGTATTCCTAGGGAATGTCAGGGTTTTTTAAAATATATTTTTATTTATTTTAAAATATATTTTTAGAAAACTAAATATGTTTCTCTGACAGCAATGGTCTAGATAGATTGAAAAGGTGTGGTTATGAAAGATCCTGGGCAGTCATCATAATAACCCAAATTTTCCCCTTAACATTCATAATCCATTATCATTCAAACTGGAATAGTGGACTCATAATTTTTAGTTTTCCCTACCTTGCTAACCAAGCATTTGCATCAAGCTCCTGTCTCCAAGCTCTCTGAAACCCATGGCCAAATAAAAGATTTCATGACAAACTTTCAGATTTAAAACCCGGATCTTCTAGATCCCTGCCTACAGTAGTGCTGACAGTTCATTTGACCTCAATATTTTCTGATATAGTTTTTTTTTTTAATCTGTATTTGGGTGAAATTAATGACTTTTAGGAACATTATAGAAATCTGCCAAAATGGAAAACTTCTTTGGGTTCTAATTCTATGCATGATAAATTGGGAACTTTATTGCTACATTTAACCTTTACCACATCTTTCTTTAAAATACAGATTCAAATGTAAAATCTAGTATTTGCAGACATTGTACTAATTTGTTCCAGTCACCCTTTGTAACCCTCAAGGCTTTGGGTTCATAAAAGGGACATGAATTACAATATGAGATCTAATATTTCCGTCACTGGTCCACATAATTTCTTTCCAGATCTTCTTTTGTGCTCATGAGGAAAAACTCTGTGCACAGTGCAGATTGAATTGCTAAAAATTCCAATGAGAAACGAGAAATATAGAAGTAAAAAGTAAATATGTCATACATGTTTATTTCAGGTAAATATCATTTTCCCTCCCTAAAATGACTTTATCTTTTAAACTCTGGCAATTGAGCAGAACAAATAGATTCTTTTCTTTGAAGCAAATCAGTTACTTATGTCAAATATTCTACCTAATAGAGGTGTATTGGGAACTGTAACAATTGCAAATAGATATGATAAAAAAGAAATAAATGGTGTTCAGTTTCTGATTTTAGCTTCTGCACTAGACTGTGAAATCAGGAGTTACTTATTTTTCACGTACTGCCATCATTGTTCTGTTGATCTAATCTATGTCCAATAAAGAGATGATCAAGAACTACTACAGGTCCCACCAACTTTGCAGCATTCATCAATCTACTGACGTTTTTCTACTTAAAAGCCCTTAAAAGTAGACTATGACTGATGGTTTATAATTTCTTAAAGAGAATTCATGAATTTCTCCTTTCTGCTTTGCCTTAGGAATATTTCAGAAATGCCCTGTCTAATGTAATTCAGCCATAATAACTGCATCACTGGAGGAGAAGTACCACAACTGCCAAAGCAGCTACAGTAACCGCTTAAACCCTGACTTTAGCTTGTTGATTTCCTTTTAAGGAAAAGCTCAGGACAAAAAGAACATAATCTGAACAAGTGATTGCAGGGCTTTAGAAAAGGAAATGCTTAATTACTTAGTAATTCATATTGTAATTCATGTTCTTTTTATGAACTCAAAGGAAATAATGCTATAAAGAAACGGAGAAATGTGTATGTTTAATGTGTTTATAGAAGCGTGTTGGAAAATGAAGTTCCTATTAATAAAATACAAATAATTTAGCTGCCACAGCTGGAAATCTCTAACTGCAGCACATAGTTCTGTAATTGCTCTAATTCTTATGTGTTCTCTTGCTCTCTTTGCAGGCAGACCAGTAATGATTGTGGTGGAATATATGGAAAATGGATCCCTAGACTCCTTTTTACGGGTGAGGTGTTCTTTTCTGATGGCATTTAAATAAGCTATTCTGAGTTCTAGATTTAAAACATTTATCATAAATTAATTTTTGCATAATTTTATTCATGGATTTTTCCATGAAGAATAGCAGGAGTTTCTCTAGGGTGTGTTTCCCTGATACTGTGATACATTAGAGTGTTACTAAGAGGATGGGGGGAATATATACACATGAGAATATAATTGATTTCTCCTATAAATTCACTTGCCATATTAGTATATACATATTTCAAATGATGTTATAAAGAAAGAGATTAAATGAAATTCAGTAGCTTCACATAGCCTGTGTGAAGCAACTGAGTTTTATTTTGCTTTATCACATTTAACTATTTAGTAGGATATTTTATGCATTATCTATAATGCTGAACCCTTTAAATTAATGAGTATTTACCAATAATGACTCAAGTTCATATCAGAAAATGGATTTTATCAGCTTTGTCCTTCTTAAGTTCGTTGGCTGACTATTTAGAAAACAAAAAGAGAAAGAATGAAACTCTGGCTGAGATTTGTTTTAGAACAAAAATTTTTAAAGCACTCTTTTTAAGTGACCTATCCTTGAAAGTATGGTATATACAAAAATCATTTGTTTATATAGTGGTACAGAATAACACAGCTGAGAAGGTACCATGAAGTTATAATTCAAAATGTGTTTATAATATTTTTAACATTTAAAAAGCCAATGTATGCTACAAAAATATTCATTGATATTGGAAAAAACAGAAATATTAGAAAAGTCACTAGAGTATTTTGCATCCCCAGCAGAGGTCACATATGTGCATGTCACTGTATTCCTTAATATATATTTACCTACAGAGACATAGCCAATTTTCTTACTTATAAAATGACTGGACTTCCGCTATTTGAAATGTGTTATATGTTTTTCTTCATTTTTTATGGGAATAAACAATCTCAAGCATTCTTTCTTCACTTCATTTTTTGCTCAGTGTTATTTGGACAAGTTCTGTGTGCATCTTACCTCTCTCCCTTGATCTCACTTTCGTTTATTTTTCTTGATTCCATGCCCTCTTCTTCCAACTGCTCTCAGTGTTGGCAGTGATAATATATTTATACTGTGACTGGACGTGATGTCCAGATTCAAATGCCAGAAGCTGAATTCAGCAAAATTGTCAAGTTATTATCGAGCAGTACTCTTCACAGAATGCATACCCTCAACCAAGTATGCTCTTTAAGGCAAAATGAAATTCATAGGTGTTTAGGGACGTGAACTATTTGTTCTTTTCTGTAGCCATTCTCAGAATGTTATTTTACAGCTTGTATCCATTTCTCCTGTAAATGTGCTAAATTACTTTAGGATAATTTTTCAGGACCACCTATGGTACTTGAAATGCATATATACTTATGCCCTTCCATTATGTTTATCCAGAAACTAATTTTTATCAGATACATATCAAAATGACTTATTATCTAATGGTGCTTCAGACAGGATTTTGTTATCTACTATATCCTGGAGCTGAATATAATGGCAAATAAGGTAACAGACACTCATTTAAATGGCTGCTGAAAAATGGATCAAATGACTGCCACAAGCAAATTAGGAGAGAAATGTTAGCTTCAGATATACTTTTTATCTTGCTGAATCATCAATCAATTAAAACATGTTATAAAGAAAAGATAATATAAGTAAAATATTTACTTATAAACATCCTACTACGTGTTTATAAGTGATATGTTTCATGATCTAAGATTTAAAAACTAATATTTTTCAGCTCTTATGCACCATGTAGGTTAGACACAATACAATCTGGGAAAGAATAAATGTTCAAATAATGGTGGCTACCACTACTAATACTATGAGAATCTTAACATATATTATCTCAGTTCATCCTGGCTCTGCCACTTACTGGCTGTGTGACCTTGTGACTTGAGCAAGTGACTAACTTCTCTGTGCCTCTGTTTATTCATCTATAGAGTGGGAATATTAACTGTATCCACCTCATACAATTGTTATAAGGATTGAGTTGATTATTGTAAAGCATATAGAATAATGGCTGACACATTGTAAAGCGAGGAGCGAGGATTGAAACTCAAGTCTCTGAATCCAAAAGCCATGTTCTCATACACTTTGAATTCTATCTTTTTATTAAATTACTTATGACTTCTTATAAGTCCACTACCATCTCCCCATGGGGTCTTGAGTCCCCTTCTCACATAGAATTTCTATTAAAATAAAAATCATATGAATGGGATAAAAAAACATAGGGCCAATACTCCCTTTTTACTCTTCTATAGGATTCTGACTTTCTTTGTAATCATATCTCTTATATCCCAGAAGCTCAAAGTACTTTATAAACTTTAGGTCAATAGCAGATATTCAACTCCCCACGGCAAGCAGAAATAAAATATATAAATATATATATGCCACAAATTCTGAAAAGCGAAGTCATTTTTCAAACTACTGCTTTAGAATTTGATAATCGCAGCTTCTGTTAGCACAGAGAGGAGGAAGTGGCTAAGTGCACGGCACGGTAGGGGAGCCATCCATGGCTCATTGATAACGTTCTGTGCTTACTGGAGCTGGAAAAGATTTCCCTCGGTCTCCCACACTACTTGAAAATCACTTCAATTCACTGTTTTATATGACGGAGTGGTAGCAAACGAAGTACAAGATTACAATCTAGTGCCAGCGGCAGTGGCTGGCTGGCTGTGATATTGCACCAAATTCATAAATCTACTGTTTGGATCCTTGCGGACATTCCTCCAGATATATATTAGCAGGGAGAGTGTGGCGTGGTTAAGTAAGTATGTTTGTGTGTAAGTGTGTATGTGTGTGTATATGTGCACGTACGTGTGGAAAAAGGGAGTGGGTAGGTACATAAATATGTACGTGTTTTAAATTTTAAAATAAAATGAAACCTGACTTAGCAAGCGGAGCATCAGCCTAACTGCCCAGAAGATATGACCTCACTGATGTGCAGGTTTTCCTAACTTTTCCAAGGAAATACACTAGTGTGAATGAATGCAGTCTTGACCATTATCCCTGTACAGTCTCTCTCCATCTATACATATGGATTTCATAAACACTTTTTGTGGCGGAACTTACCTGGCAACTGCTTATCCCTAAATCTTTGGAACTCCATTTTTATAGCAATATTAACTAGCAATCCAAATAAAAATAGTTATAAATTAATTACTTTAAAAATTCGAGATATCATGTGTCAAGCACAATTTATTCCTTTATTTTATAACATTTGTTGAATGTGGATTTGTTTATTATATCACAAAACTCAGTTATACAAAAATACACCACCACTGGTTTCAGTTCAAGAGGGTATATTGTGTTCATGCTGCAGCATCCTGCTCCCATCTCAAAACCTTTTTGTTGGTTTTTTTTTTTGCTGTACGCGGGCCTCTCACTGCTGTGGCCTCTCCCGTTGCGGAGCACAGGCTCCGGACACGCAGGCCCAGCGGCCATGGCTCACGGGCCCAGCTGCTCCGCAGCATGTGGGATCTTCCCGGACCGGGGCACAAACCCATGTCCCCTGCATCGGCAGGCGGACTCCCAACCACTGCGCCACCAGGGAAGCCCTCAAAGCCTTTGACATAAGAGAAAAAGATATACATACATTACTTATAAAGCACAATCACATAAGCAAGTGAGAAAGTGTCATCCAGAAATCATAACAAGAAAAACATTGGAGAAATTAATAAAGACAAAAAGCAAACAGAATCAGATTGTGTAAGGAGACTGTCAACAGAATCAGATTGAGTAAGGAAACCATAGCCAAAAACACACTCAGGAAAGGATGTTTGAGAGCAAGAGGGATATGTGGAAGGTAGTGCTACCAACTGAAATAAAGATACAGAGGAGGAAAAGGATGGGCTGGTAATTGGAAGAAGATGATGAGTTTAATTTGGGTCTTGTTACCTTTGAGATGCCTATGGAACATGCGGTGAAAGTGTCCAGACAAAATTAGAAAGATATATCTGAAACACAACAGGAAAATCTTGACTAAAGTTAAAAATTTGGGAGTCAGTAGAATACAAGTGGTTATTAAACCCAAACCATGATATTTTCCAGGAAGAAATGTTAGACAAAGGAAAGGAGTTGAACAAGGTTGGAACTCTGTGGCATACCAACCTGAAGAAGCGGCACGGATGGCATCTCCATCCATGAGAGGTGAAAGACAAGCAAGTGGCGAGAGGAGGCCATGGCATCCCAAACCTAAGAGAATAGAGCATTTCAGGCAGGAGCAAACAAGCGATTGTATTAAATGCAGCAGAGAAATTCTGGAAGACAGAGACTATGACATCTATATGATATCTATAACTAAGGCAGAGACTAGACATCTATGGCATTTAGCACTTTCTTAGGTGGCCCTCCAAGATCTCAACAAGAGCAGTTTTAATGGGTTGGTCCCAGGCAGAAGCCAGACTGTAGAGGGCAAAATGAGACTGAAATATAAATAGAATTGGCAGGTGGAGACCAGTTTTTAGGGGGAAAGTGGGTGAGATGGCAAGGCAAGAGATAAATCAGATGCTAGTAGACCAAAAGAAAAATCAAGGGTATTTTTTTTTTTTTTTTTCCTTGCGTTATGCGGGCCTCTCCCTGTTGTGGCCTCTCCCATTTGCGGAGCACAGGCTCCGGACGCGCAGGCTCAGCGGCCATGGCTCACGGGCCCAGCCGCTCCGCGGCATGTGGGATCTTCCCGAAACGGGGCACGAACCCGCGTCTCCTGCATCGGCAGGCGGACTCTCAAGCACTGCGCCACCAGGGAAGCCCAAGGGTATTTTTTAAGATAGAAAATAATTTAGACAATTTGTACACTGAGGGCTAGGAAATCAAAGAAAATACTGTTAAACTGGTAAGGCAAAATATCTCAGGAGATGGGAAGGTACAAAATCAAGGACCCTGGTGAAGGATTAACTTTGAGTAGCAGAAGCCTCCACCTTTTCAAAGACTTGAAGGAGCTGTGTGTTGTGGATCTAGAGGGATTTACGAGGAACATGCATTAA